ACCAATCTCCTTAAATATTAACACAACAAATACTTTCTCTTAGAATCAATTCATTATCTTGATGTCCACTTTGATGTTTAAATTTGAGTAATTTAACTAAAATCTATTCGTTATTATTTAAAAAAATAAAGCAAAATTATCAAATATAATAGAGTTTTAAAAGTTTAAGATAAATTTAAATAATAAAAAGTATTTTTCACACCAAGCAAATACATGCTAAATATTTATACTATTATGATAATGGTGAGATTAAAAAATATGTATAAATACATGTAATATTTAAAATATTAAATAGTTTATATTAAACATTTTTAAGCTTTTATTTTTCATTTTTTTAATATAACTTTTACAAATTATTTTTATAATTTTCGTGTTTTTATGTTATAAAATGCAAAGAAAAATTCTTTCAATTTTTGTATTATTTATAACAATTTTTTGGAAAAATTTCCTAAACGAATTCCTTTCAAATAATTTCACAAGTATTCTTTTCAGACGAAATTTTGTGTTCTACTAATTAATCGAACGGTCATTCTTCGAATGCGTTAAGGGAAATCTGAGGAAAATGCAAACAGTTTCATTGATCTTCTAACTCATTAAGGTTGCATACTTTGACTTACAAAGCCATTAATGACGTGGGATTTAGGGACCACTAATCTTTGGTAGGCAGTCACTCCAGCCTTGTTTGAATTTTCATCATTTGACAGAAACTTCCTTTCTAATAAAATGCATAATTTTAGATCTATTCCTTTTGACTGCTTACTTAAGTAATATTGATGTTAAAACATAACATTCTGATTAATATGCCATTATCTATGAAAATTAATGTAAATTGTTATATTTAGGTTTACATTGATTTTCATTATAATAAATTATCAGCTACTTAATGTAACCTTTGTATTATTTTCTTAAATGGAAAAAAGTTTTAATTGTTCCAATCAATATAGAATCGTTAATAGCAACACTTTCAGGCAGATATTGAATTTCTTTATAATTCTTTGCCTTTTATTTGTAAAATGTTCAATCATTATTTCTTTTATTCTTATTTTTAACAAAAATAAATTATGTTTTACATTATAAAGCAACAGAAAGTACTTTTCTAATACTAATTAATCTTATTTTCTTCTTGTTTTTAGTTGAGGTTTAAATTTATATTGTAAAGTGTTCTTCGGTTATTAAAAAGTTCAGTTAATTATTTAATAAAAAAATATTTTAAATAAATATTATACCAGTTTATATACAAAATATTCATACATTTCTGCATTATTTTTGCACTACAAAATCGTACTGTTACTACTTTCTTCTGAAAATTAAACAAAAGTATTGTCATTAATGTCGATATAATATTATATAAATTTTTAGAAAATCTCTTGTAGGCTTTTATTCTTTAGCACTATATATGACGATGTTCTACGAGAACAAGTAATTATACCCCCAAAAATATACCGGCCGAAAATAAGGAATAAAACAAGCAAGTAGAAAAAACAAGTGCCTACATAAAATCTACACATGGGAAATTAATTGTGTAAAGACAAAAATAATCTTTAAAAATATATAATTCCTTTTTACAAATATTCTTAAAAGCTTTATAATCCAGATTCATTTAACTATGTATACTACCTCATAATACAATGAACAGACAGGTAAATATATTAACTATTTTATATTATAATAAAGAATATATAAAGATGTAATTTAAAGGATCTCACTTCTTTACGAGTTAAAAAAATCTCTGAATAAAATTAATAAAACAAATAAAAATTAGTTTTTCTATTGATCAAAAGAACGAAGAAGCTAAAAATCCAATTCTGATAACCTATTGTTTTAGTCAATAGGTTGATCAAAGGGTTAAATTTCTCTCTGGCATATTAAATTTTCTTCCAGATTGAGAAACATAAAGAAGTTTTGTGTTCTTTATATAGTCACCCTTTATGTTTGTCTTCTTTTTCATTCATAAATATACTAAAAAAATAAACAAAAAATATCAGAAGGAACATTTACACAATCCTTATATCAAATTTTTATATAAATTTCGGAGTCTTTTAATGGCTAGGGACAAATACCACCCTTTCTTCTACATCTGTCTGCTGAAATTTCTTATATACTTTTTAAAATTCGGTTTATTAATCTCTTTAGCATAAAGTTAACGTTTCATAATTATTCACAAAAATTTTCGAATTAAGAATTTTTTAAAAATTTCAGCAATAAATTGATTTTTCATACATGTACTACACCATTAAATCATTCCACATAAAATTATCCATTAAAATTTTATGATTTGGGATGATTTACTATAAATCATAAACATATCTTCTTTAACATACTTTTTTGTTGTTATTTTACTAATTATAGTTAATTGCATTTTTTTGGTACAAAAACTGGAAAATAAACTTGAATAAAAGCTTTAAAATTATACAACACATAAAAATTTTTATCTTTATTGTCATATTTTACGTAAATGTTATTATCTATAAAAGAAAAATATTGATCAAATAATTAATATTAATGTTTTTAATTACAATTTAAAATATCTTTTAATGATTTTCTAATTATGAATGTACAAATAAAAAAAATGATTATTATAATATTTATTTTTTTATTTAGTTCTAATGAAAATATATATATTCGTAGAAATGTCTCTAAAATAAAGCAAAAATCCCCCGCTTTACGACTGATATAAGTACGAAATACCATAGCCATGTTTTCATCAAAACAAATATAGCGCTTACATAAGAGTTTTAACTATATAATATTATATCCTTATGATATTATAAATTCATATAGGTTTATTTCCAAGAAAATAAATTCAATTTTTTACATTGAAACTAAGGGAAATAAAAACGCTTCGCTTTACGACGGATTATTAAACGAGAATAAGAAGTAATTACAGTGTAATTTATATAGTTTAAAAGTTTATAAGTTACTTTCTTTAATTATATTGTAAAGTAAATATAGTAAGAAGTTATTAGAGTTCATTAAGCGTAGTTCTATGTACTTTCTCATAATCAAATTATAGCAATTAATAATAAAGTCAGTTAATATAACTTTAAGAATATATTTCTTGTCAGATAGTAAGAAAAACGAGCAACTATTTATTGTGACATCGTCACAATGTCGGGCTGTAATTTTTCATTGAAACGTTCTCGATTTTAGTAATGTCTTACCCCTGTACATCAAACTTTTCCTGTTAACAATAGAGTCATACCGTTCAACTAACTCTGTTCTAGTGAAAGTTATGAATACTGTGTTACCCTTATGGATCTATTACCCTTAAACTTTCCATATCTGGTCTCGAATTTCATCTACATAGCTCCGTTCTCGAGATTAAGAAAGGATATACAGACAGACAGCCGGCAGTGGGAATTTATAGGTGTTAATTTGATAACTGCAGCACAATAAACATTACTCTTTTAAATATACAAAATTCCACAACAAAAATAAAATCNTCACAAATATTTTAATATTTTCAAATATCATTAAAACAATTTGTCCATTTCCTTAAAGTTTTTTATTCAGTTCATTAAAATGCTGAGTGATGCCCCCGCATAAGAACATTAAATCATTTAACCAATCTATATTTGAAAATTCGTCTTTTTCATTCAAAAAGAGCTTAATTTCTTCTAATGAAATGACAAACCGAATAAGAACTTGACCGCAACTGAGCCATTGAACATTGTTGTATGTCAAAATCCCCGAATACTGGCACTCAATTTCCTCTAATAATTGTGCAAATTTTCATTTATTAAGACATCTTGCATTTATAAAGTTGATGACTTTTATTACAACTGGCATTACAAAATTGGAAAATGTTTTTAAACCTTGCTTTGCACATAGAACTTGCTGGTATATTATACAATGAAATTAAATCAGAGAATGTGTAATATTTTGCTTAAGATACTGAATAAAACCAATTTTTTCCCCACCATATCAGGTACACCGTCTGTTGTTACAGAAACAATTTTCTGTAAGTCAATATCCATTTCTTTAAATGCAATATCAAATTCTTTAAAAATATCAAGACCGGTACACTTCCTTTTCAAACGTTATTAGTTTCATTAGCTCTTCTTTCATTATATTGCCTGATTTATATCGAGCAAAAACTGTTAATTGTGCATAACCATTTACATCATTACTTTCATCTAAAGCAATTGAATACATTTCTGCATAATTTAAGTCGTTATGTATTTGCAAAAAAATATTTCTTTCTAATTCTACTACTCGATCTTTAATTGTATTGCAACTTATTTATTGGTAACTCATTTATACGCTTTATAATCAAGTGTCTTTCTTTAAAATCTGCAAACAAAGTAGCACTACATTTTAAAAATGCTTGTTTTACAAACTGTCCTTCTGAAAGAGGTTTCCCTTGGTGAGCAATGCAATGGGCAACTTGAAAACTAGCAGCTGTAATGTTATTTTTTGGAATCAAAAAAGTTCTAAAACACTGGTTTGTGAATAATTCTCTTTTTTCTTTTGTAAAAAATATGTTTTTTCCTCATCTGTTGAAAGGCTGAGATTAGAATGCAACTTTTCAAAATGTCTTTTTACATTGTATGTACTGTACATGAAATGACTTTTTCGTTACAAATTACACACAAAGTCGTTTTATTCTTTTCAATGATACCATATTTATCAAACAATTCTGTTTGATATGGTCTGGAACTTGTATTATTTTGCGTGGGTCATTCATTTAAAAAGCCTGTGTCGATCAGTGTCTGACCCGCAGGTCATAGGTTCGCCACCACTGGCCTAGGCTATGGTTAAATTTTGATATAATAATGAAAATAAATTTAACAGATCTTATTTATCTATAAAATTATAAAAAAATCATTAAAGATTAAATATAATTGGAAAGATCAGATCTATATTTTTAATATTACATTGAAAACTGACTATTTGTGTTTTAAAACTTTGGATTTTATTTCCACTTTCATAAGAAAAATAATTTAAAATATGAGATGACACTTTCTTAAAATTAATGATTTACATACAATACTTTGAAGGCTCATGATGATTAAGTCCCTTTACATAAGTATCCTGTGACAACAATCATTCAAACTGTATAATGCTAAAACTTGGCACCTAAACAAAATTTAAAATATATTTAGGTTTAAAAAGTAAATAGAAAATAAAAAAATTAATAAAAAAAAAATCATCATCTTACTTCTTTTCAAACTTTAACTCGCGAATTTGGTCCAATATTTTTATTAAATATTTCTTTTCTCTAGTGTGTCTATAAATTTAAAGTTTCAATAAATACATAAAAATAACTGAAATGAAATCTCAAATGACTTTTCCACTTACTTTTCAATAATTTCAGCCACACTGTTGTCAAATGCATTTTCATTTTCCATCTGAAATATATTGTATAATATTAAAGATACAATAAATAATGTATTTAACAAAAACTTTGTTCTCATTTTAACAATGCTAGCAACTATGGTAGTATAGAAGTGTTTCCAATTCTTATATACTGTACTATTTTGACTACAAGAATAGGGATTTGCAAGTTTAATGTTGAACATTAACTACTTTAACTTGCAAATCCTTTGGAGCAAAACCAATGAAACAACAAACTATTGTAACCCATGTCGATGAGCACTGAATCTATATTATTCAGTGATGAACCGTTTTCTGAAGATGGTCAAAACTCGAATTTGAAATTTAATAACTCCAAATCGCAGGTCACACATTTAAATAATAAATAATATATAAATAAATAAGAACAATAATAATAAACTCTATATAAGGGAAAAGAAAAGTTTGGTATTACATCATTACGAAATTGTGATGGCACAATTTCTTTTACAAGGCAAATGAATGCATTCTTTGATGCATTAAATGCAAAACTGCCCGAGAGCTACACTGAATCACCAAAACTGCAGGTATATTACTGATAAATGAAAACTTATAACTATAGATTTAGTGCAGCTTATTTAAATATATTTAAATTTGTTGAGCTGTTAAAAGACACCCTTTCTTGGCTTGATGCATGGGAACAGCAATCAACTATAGCAGACAATGGTCCAAAGCCATTCTTCCTCATGCAAGTCACTAGTGAAGTGATTTGTATAACCCTGCACAATTTCATGAACATTATCAAAGGTCTGTTGTTGCCTGGTTTTTCTTATGTGTTGACAAGGAAAAGTAACCAAAACCATCAGAGGTAAATGAATCTCACTGCTAATTTACATTTTATAAAGTTTACTAAAATTAAACTTTTGTAATTACACTTTCAGATGCTATGTTCAGCATGTGGTGACAATGATCATTCTACATCAGAACAGTTCCTACATTTGTACAGACTACAATCCTTATATAGTTTGGTAAAAACCACAAAAAAGAGGAAATGTATCCTGTGCATCTCCAAGTGATCTACTTCTGAACTAGCTAAAGAGGAATGGTGGAAGCATTAAACAGGAGCAATTAATGGAATTACAGGATGCTGTGTCCTCAGTTCTGTCAACTGACAGCTTTGATGGAGTCAATAATAGGGTAAATCAGATCATTCCGACTATATTCAGTATAGTGTAGATGATGCCATTGTATATTTTCTAGGAGACTATGTTGCATATACATGTGAAAATTCCTGCAGTAATTGCAGTCATTCTCTCTTATCTGAGCAGAAGGAATCAAGAGAGAAAACTGCAGGGCTTAACATAACCAAAAGCCATAGAAGACTATTACATCCTTCCAAACAGCTGCTGCATTTACTATGTTTATGTGAAAAACATATTTCTCAGCATGTGGAAGATAAGAAATTTGTTGTTGTTAGAATATTTGATGATATTGTAACAGATAGCAATTTGGCCTTAATCACTTTAAGATGTAAAGATCATTATGTACAATTAATTTTGCATACAATTAAGTTTTATGTAACCACAAGAATTCATTTTTTCACAAGAGAAGATAATAAGTTATAAGTAACAGTGGCCAATAAAAATGCTAGAAAACTAAGCAGTAAAGTAACTAATAGAATAAACTTTTATACTGAGGAACTTTTAATTTTCATTAATGTTTTCAACTCCACAAATCATCATCAAATGGATCAATATTTGAATATCAAAGAAAATTAAAAATATGAAGGTTTACAATAGAATAACTTACAACATAATTATGTTACCATACAAATAAAATAAAATAAAAACAAAAGAATGTGATATTTTGTGTTAATAAGAAATCAATCATTGAATATAGATATGTCTCATATTTATTATTGTTTTGGTAATATCATGTAATAAAAATGCAAACACAGATGCATTAATTTCTTTTTATTTTATGCCCTTTAAAAACTATCTCATGTATCTGATTTTTGTAATAAACTATATTTGCAAAATTATTAAACATTTATTTGATCTGTATAGTAATTCTACAATATTCATTATATGAAATAAAATTAAAAACATATATTCATTTAGAAAAAAAAAAGTTAAATTACCTCAATATGAGAAACAATAGTCTTTATAATAGCAATTGAAAGTTCCACAGCTAAAACTTCAACACTAGTCCTACTTGAAAAACACTGAAGTATTGTTGATAACTGTGACATAATCTAATATAAATAAATATTAAAAAGTAATAAATTAAGCAATTTCAATTTTTGTTTAAAAAATTTAAACTAGTAAAACTAACCTGAATCTCAAAGCGCTTTTTAACATTAAATGTAATTTTTTCCTTTGGTAAAAATGAAATTCTAGTTTGAGACCCAGAAAAGTTATCAGAACTGTTACTTCTTCCAATTTCATTTTTAAAATTCTCAGTTTGTTCACTACTTTAAATAACATATTAATGCTATGTTTGCTTTAATTTCCTTTTAAATAAAACTAAATTTCTTACCATTTGCTTGCAGTATGTTTTGATATATAATCCACTAATTCATATAAAGATAACTTCTTTTCGGAAAATTTATCTTTATCAAACGTTCGTATCTATTTTTAAAAAGTGATTGATACAAATAAGATGGGAAAAAATAAAAATTTTATAAAAAAATCAAAAAAACTTACTTTAATAATTCCACTTTCACCCTCTTTTAAAATTATAATATGAGGAATTTTTTGTTCTTGACAGAATTCAGTAATTTCTTCTAAGCTCTAAAATAATTTCATATTTTATTTAAAATAAATTGTGTTTATAAAATTGATTTAGGTAATAAAAATTAGCAGTACTTGTGTGATATCATAAATTAGTTGTGATCGAATACCATTTCCCCACAATTCTTGTAAAATCATGGATTTATCTTTTATCATAGATTTTGTTCCAATTGAACAAACTAAAACATCAATTTCACTTGAAATCTAGAATTTAAATATTATAAATTAAATTAAAAATTTGTCATGTTTATAATTTTAAGTCTAAATACCTCTTCTTTTTCAATCATTGCTGATATAATTTTGTCAACAGCAATGCTAATTCCAACAGCAGATTGATTTTCTTTATTACTGCTTGCTGAGAAGGAACTTATCTTTAATTTTAAAAAAAATATATATATTATATATATATATAAACGTGTGTTTATATGACACACACAATAAATAATCTAATATCTAATATATATGGAATTTTATATATTAGTAAAGATAATTCTGTTACAGAAACTTTACATACTAATTTATCATATCGACCACCAGCAGCTAACACATCCATTCCTCCTTTTTGATTATTTTTTTTTAATTCACATTTAACTTGAAATATGACTCCAGAATATAAATTAATATTATATACAAGTCCTGGAGTTATAAATATCTGTAAGTAAAAGTTGTATATATATATTAATAAACTAATTCAAAAGTGTAATAATAATAGTAGTGTTCCAGATATTATATAAAAATCTAAAAAGATATAATTTATGTCATACTAAAAAATGTACAATATTGAATGCATTTTACACAGTATACTACTGTATCAAAAAGTATCAAGAGGGTGCTGTCATTATTTGGTATGACTTTCATTGACATCTAGTAGCAATCCATATGTTATTATCTATTTTCATTTGCAAATAAATGTTTGTTTTGTGCATAAAAAATTTTTGCACCTGCACTTTTTCAAAATGTCTAGTGTAATTGAGCAAAGAACGTGCATTAAATTTTGATTTTGTAATGGAATCTACAAAATCATTGGAAATGTTGCAAAAAGCCTTTTATGATAACGGTATCAATGACTAGACTTTTAATGATACAAGATATTCAAGGAAGGCAGAGAATGTGTCAAAGATGGACATGCATTCCTGGTAGACCATCCACTTCAACTGACAAACAGCACATTATTCAAGTCAGAGATTCAGTGCTCGATGTTTATCATTAACTATTAGGGACATTATTGAGCATGTTCCAGTATAATTTGGATTTTGTCAAGCAATTGTAAAATATCATTTGTGCTTGCAGTGCATCACTTCTCAAGTTGTCCTGAAAAAGTTGAATTTTTTTCAAAAAACATGTTCAAGTAGCTGAGAAAATGTTTTCCAGGCAAATCATTCTTAAAATGCATCATTGCAGGTGATGAAACATAGATTTGTGCTTTTGACACTAAAATAGCTCAACAATTGAATGAATGGCATTCTAAAGGTGAAACAAGATTGAAAAGACCACAAAGTCAGGTCAAAAATCAAGATTATCTGACTGTTTCGGTCAACATAATCTTTGATTCTCATGATGTGCATCATGAATTCCTTCCAACTGACCAAATCAACAAAGAATATTATTCTGAACATTTTGCATCATTTGTGTGAAGCAAGTAAAAGAAAATGACCTGATTTATGGCAAAAAACTCCATGAATTTTGCATCATGATAACATAATCAGCAAGAGCATTGTGAGCAGGTGTGATCTTTTGGCCAAAAATTTAGCAAATATAGTCCTGCAAACTCTGTATTTATCCAATATGGCACTGTGTAATTTTTTACTTTTCCTTGACTAAAATTTCTGCTTTGTGGTCACCATTTTGAGTTGATTGATGTCATAAAACAAAATTGCTGTGAGTTCTGGTGGGATTTCATGAAAACAACTTCAAAGCATGTTTACAGATTGGAAAAGTTTGCCCCAAGAGCATTGCAGTGGGAATGGATTATACTTTGAAGGGGATAAAATAAATTTTGATAAATAAATTCAAATCTTGCATTTTATTGAACCATTCCCAATACTTTTAATCACAGGAGCTATGTATTTCATGTTTAAAAAGTTTGACTGACAGAATATAAATATAATGGTTGTTAAAGTAGCTGTTTTGTTTGAACCACAACTACAACAGATTGCATTTGTTCTATATTCCAAAAAACAACAATTTAAATCACTGAAGATAAAGCGTGTGTCCTGAAAATATTGTTTTCATCTCACAATTTTGGATTATTTCATGAACTTTTTGGAGATTGGTTTGTATTTTAATTGTTATTTGTTAGCTTTTATAACAAGTATCACTTTGTAAATTTTAGTCTATAAAAATTAGTCTAGTATAATATTAAATTCTTTTTTAATTTAATTACGAAATTATCTGAAAATCAGAATATACTTATTAGCACATAAAAGTTAAATATGTTAACTAAATAAAATTTTTCTCAAGAATTATAATGAACAGAGCATTGAGCAATGTCAGGGCCAATTTCCAGTGTATTTTTAATTGCTTAACTGAAGTAGGGATCATTGTACATTTTACAATCTTTTGCAGCTTATATTTTTTTAATGATTCAGTAATTCATAATTATAACATTTATTTGTTTTCATCTTTTCCATCTTATTTTGCAATTTATAAATATATACTAAATTATTTGTTTATGCACTGTTATATTTATTTTATTGGAATTTATTTATTGGATTGCTTCAATTTTAAATGCTTCTTAAATGTTTGTCATTTTTCATTGTTGTTCATTTTACTAAATTATAAATGCTAAGCATGTGCACAGGATTTTTAAAAAGGTGGGGTTTTATATATTGTATATAAACATCATATTGTAAAAATTAATAAATTACAATATGATGTTTTTTAAAACCCCACCTTTTCTGTTACTCTATATACTGTTATTCTGTATACTGTTACTGTATTTTTTCATTATGTAAAAATTAATAAATTACATAATGAAAAAACAGTAACAGTATACAGAATAACAATACAGTAGACTAAGAAAGAATTGAACAGGTATAAAATACATTATTTTTTTATTTAATTTTCCAATTCTTCCCAAATGGAAAGTTAAACCTCTAAAACCCACATGTACTGGTACATGGCTTAATTGATACTAATGCTTACTGTAATTGCATATTTTTTCATCATTGTGTTCTTCATAACTTTGCTGATTAATACTGTAAACCCTGTATAAAATAAATAAATAAACCATACAAAAATAGACATGTACATTTGTTTTTATTTACATTAAGATCCTGATTTTATATTATTAACCTAAATAATTATTTTTTAACTTAGCCCCAACACTCAGAATCCATGAGATGCCACTGAACTGTATTATAATGAAATTGATAATTTATTTCAATGAAAATAACTGTTTAGTAAATATTTTTATGTTAAATAGACTCATAAGTGTTAGAAATAAAAATATTAGATACTAATTTAAAATTATATAATAATAAGAATGCTTACGGGAATTTTAACACCTAACAGTTCAGCATTTGTTATAATTGACTGTAATTCTCGTAATCCTTGTTTTGCTAATGCTGCTGCCTAGATAATAATTTTAACAAATTAATAAATTAACAAACTAATCTTAATTATTTTTATTATGAATTTATTATTACTAAAAAATTACAAATTACTAATTATCAGCACACACACACACTAAGACATAAATCAAGAAAAATTACTTACTTGGTTTTTTCTTTTCAATATTGAATTAAAATTACTTTCAACCTTTGACTGCAATTCTTTTAATTCAATATAATGACAAAATGAACTAACAGATTGTTCTCCCAATCCAATATCAACAAGTTTACTTTGCATTTGAAATCTGTTGAAGTTTTCTTTCTATATATAAATGAATAAATATATGTAAAATTAAAGAAAAATCAATATAAAAGAAATCACTGAAAAGAATTATAGATATTACCTTATTATCAGAAATAATTGTATAAACTGATTGATACTTTTCTTCTGGTATTCCGCAATGCATAAATATAGCTTTTAGAAGGGATGCATGATTTATATGTATAGTATAATTACGAGACTGAAATAAATGTATTTATTTAATATAATAACTAATGGTTAATACAATTATTAATCTAGACTGAAAAAAATTGAATTATTTTAATGAAAATTTTAGAAAAAAAACACTTCTAATAATAAATTTTTCATAAAACTTGTTTATCCTATTAACTCCAATATACCGGTGGAAGGTTACAAGATGAGTAGGATATTTACTTAAGAGCAATTTTTATACGTGAAACTATTATCTTGTTCATATATAAATATTTATTATATTTTACAATTTTGACATTCAAAGCAAACTTTAATTACAGGCAGAGTAATTTAATTTAAAAAACCTAAATTTATGAAATAAACTTTTCAAGTCATTTTTGATGAGTCAGTCTCATTGACAGTTAAGACATCTGACTTGATAATTGACATGCTAGTAGACGATAAAAATAATGTCATAAAAAAGTTTAAAATTCAAATAAGACTATTTGGTCATTAATCAATCCTAAACATTTACAGATATTCCTTGATTAATGCAGTTAATTAATCCATCAATGCTACTATGTGTATCAAATTTCATTAATCAAATACAGAAGTATGTACAGTACCTTGGTACTCGACTGAACAATCACCACCCATTAGAACAAATTTTTGGTTAATAACAAATATTTTTATATTAACAAATGAAAATAGCAAATTCATTATCTCCTTATTTGTGGAGATAACCATATCTATGTTAAGTAAAGATGGCTGTTCAAGCCACATTAATTATAACTTTTGCCACATATAAAAAGGAATTGTCACAATTAATTTCACACAATAATCAAATCCCGTTAAGCAAGTGATACCTGTATTGCCACTAGCTTCCCAGCAGGATCCTTTGCTATGATAGAGAAAAAGTTTTGCCCTTGAAAAACCAGGCATTTATACTGTTCCCTTACAAAATTCATTAACTGAATCGAAGCATTTGTATTGGAGTGACTTCCAGAACGCTTCATGTAGCATCGCGAGGAAGTGGCAAATAATAGATGTACAAAAGAGCTGGCTAAAAAAAAGTAACAGTGGGTAAGTTTAATTCACTTTGGCCAGAGACCTTGCTCCTGTTACGAACTTCGAAGTGATTCACAAAATGGTAAAATTTGGCAGAAACATCATGTCTGATGTGTTATTCGCTCAGTTTTTTACTTTTGCTAGCGAATCGCACTCAGTGTAAGCTAAGCTTAAGACGTTGTGGGGATCAAAAAATAATTGTTTATCTGGGTGTCTTTTTATTGCATCAACATTGCCATGTAACTCTCTGTGGATGGCGCTACCTAGGCTTCTAAAATCTTAAATTGTATATTTCATGATAAAAAGCATTTCGCTCATTAATTAATAAGCGAAATGATTTTTTCATTTCTACGTGTTAATTGGGCTGCAATTTGAAAAAAAAAACATTGTAAACCTATAAATTCCCATTGTCTTTCCTTAATATCGAGAACGGAGATAGAAAGATGAAAGACAAGACCAGACACGAAAGCTTTAGGCTTTCCAACCTATATATATATATATAGCTCTGATTAACTATATACAAACTTCCTATGCAAACCAGAAGTCATGTTATTTCAATTCAAAAATTTTCCCTGAAAGGTGTTACATAGATGAACAGCATAAGTCTGTTGCTAACGGAAAAGTATGATGTACAAGGGCAAGACACTACTAATTTGAGGTGGAGAGCATATATTTTAAAGTAAATAAATTAAAAATTGCAACTTCTGCATTATGACAATGTCATAATAAATAATTGTGCATAATCTGCTTACTTTTTAATACAACAGGTTTTGAGTTTTGACTAATCGACTGGCTGTATGAAGAACTCTTTCCTACTAATAATAAATTATTGAAAATTAAATGGGATAATTATTTTAATTGTTTATATACTGTATATTTTTCTGTAACAGTGTTTAGCAGCAGAAGCTTGCAATTTTCTCATAAACGAACATAGTAAAACAACATGTTAAACAATATTTGGGAATAATTTGTAGTATATTTTTATAAATCTTAGGTCAGCTGTAAAATGCACAGTAGCAGGATTACTTAATTAGTGAAGGGAACAAATTGTTGATGAATCTTTGACAAGATCAATGTGTGTTACTAAAATGGGTTCTTAATCTTTTAAAAGTTCTAGAGCTGGAATACTTCTTGTCGCCCAGCCAAGATATATGAAACGATCTGTAATAAAAACGTTGTTAAATTGTAACCAAAATTATTTTGAAAAAACGACAAATGTTCCTCCCTACACATACATGCATACTTAAATATATAAATGGAAAAATTTACGAAGTAGCAAATTTATTAATCAGTACCATATTTTATTCATTTATTCAGCTGAATGCTGAGGTGGTGAAGGTGTCAAGTTATCTCTGGAGAACCTGGGATCGAATCTTAATGAACAATTGTAGTGGTCTGTCCTGAATATGTTGTGCCATGCTTCTCATCATCCGGCTGTCCCCCACTGCAGGACTGGCCAAATCCATATTGGATATGCAGGATGTCCAACAGACCTGGAGAACCTGGAAATGTCAGAGAATTTATTAGATTAGGGAAAAGTCATGGAAATCTTAGGAAATTTGATATTAAATCTGGAAAAGGAAAAAAAAGTATTGCAACACATAAATATTATTAATGCATTGTATAATGGAAACAACAGAAACGATTTGAATGTGCATTGTATTGTGTCACATGAATTGAATGATGATTTAAGATTGCATTATGCATGCTAATTAAATTTAAGTATAATAATTAGTAATATTTACCCCAGTGTCTTAAGAAAATACAGAATTTGAATTATGTGGCTTTAAATTGCTATATGAAAAAAATGTAGCTTTTTTCAATTGTAAATAGCTTATTTGTAAGTGTTGCCTCATGGGATTCACTAAAAAACAGTTGACAACCATAGCTAGCAGTCAATTTTCTTTGGAAATGAAGAGTTAGAGATCTGATCACAACAGTTTCAAAACTCTTACCGACTAAATGCTATGTAGAATTCATCTATACTTTAGCAATGCTTGCAATTTATTATTTCAAGGTTTGGAACTAGTCACTATTTTAACTAAAAGTCAGTTTTTTCATTTTGTCATTATTTTTGCAAAATGTCATTTAGAGTCTGTTTTGGAAAGATGTTACTGTACAGTATTTATTCTGTTTTAATGTCTATCTTTTTCAACTTTTCAAGAAGCTGAGAAATGAAGTGTGTATTAGATTCAAAGTATAAGTAACAAGCTTGGAAGGAAAGCTAAACCTGTTAACTGTAATTTGAACAGATTTAACTATATAAGAACCAAATGTCTTCCAACACTAGAGGAGTTATACTTCAACACTACAAACAACCTTTCCAGCTCCAGTGATATTTGTTTACACCTCAGCAAACGTTTTCAACCTCATCGAGCGTTTAGCGCGTGCGTAAACGTTCCATGAGTATTCTTAATCGGTTTATAAATTTTGAATCGTATACGTTCCATTCCACACGCGTTCGAATTCCTAAGAAAAGTAGCCTGATGAAGACCTCGATGAGGTTGAAAACGTTTGCTGAGGTGTAAACAAATATCACTGGAGCTGGAAAGGTTGTTTGAAGTGTTGAAGTATAACTCCTCTAGTGTTGGAAGACATTTGGTTCTTATATAGTTAAATCTGTTCAAATTACAGTTAACAGGTTTAGCTTTCCTTCCAAGCTTGTTACTTATACTTTGAATCTAATACACACTTCATTTCTCAGCTTCTTGAAAAGTTGAAAAAGATAGACATTAAAACAGAATAAATACTGTACAGTAACATCTTTCCAAAACAGACTCTAAATGACATTTTGCAAAAATAATGACAAAATGAAAAAACTGACTTTTAGTTAAAATAGTGACTAGTTCCAAACCTTGAAATAATAAATTGCAAGCATTGCTAAAGTATAGATGAATTCTACATAGCATTTAGTCGGTAAGAGTTTTGAAACTGTTGTGATCAGATCTCTAACTCTTCATTTCCAAAGAAAATTGACTGCTAGCTATGGTTGTCAACTGTTTTTTAGTGAATCCCATGAGGCAACACTTACAAATAAGCTATTTACAATTGAAAAAAGCTACATTTTTTTCATATAGCAATTTAAAGCCACATAATTCAAATTCTGTATTTTCTTAAGACACTGGGGTAAATATTACTAATTATTATACTTAAATTTAATTAGCATGCATAATGCAATCTTAAATCATCATTCAATTCATGTGACACAATACAATGCACATTCAAATCGTTTCTGTTGTTTCCATTATACAATGCATTAATAATATTTATGTGTTGCAATACTTTTTTTTCCTTTTCCAGATTTAATATCAAATTTCCTAAGATTTCCATGACTTTTCCCTAATCTAATAAATTCTCTGACATTTCCAGGTTCTCCAGGTCTGTTGGACATCCTGCATATCCAATATGGATTTGGCCAGTCCTGCAGTGGGGGACAGCCGGATGATGAGAAGCATGGCACAACATATTCAGGACAGACCACTACAATTGTTCATTAAGATTCGATCCCAGGTTCTCCAGAGATAACTTGACACCTTCACCACCTCAGCATTCAGCTGAATAAATGAATAAAATATGGTACTGATTAATAAATTTGCTACTTCGTAAATTTTTCCATTTATATATTTAAGTATGCATGTATGTGTAGGGAGGAACATTTGTCGTTTTTTCAAAATAATTTTGGTTACAATTTAACAACGTTTNAAACTTGACACGTGTCGGGCTGTGATTGGAACGACTTGTAAGAAATCGGATTCCTAATAAATTGGAACGTATCTATATCTTATAGGGAGGTCGACTGTACTATCTGATCCAAAGATATGAAAATGCACTACGTACTGAAGGTTCTGTTTAAGTATTTAATATTATCATAAATATGTTTAATTATCTAAGAAATATTATTTAACATTTATTATTTAAAAATATGATATTTATATTTCAAATATTTAATATTAAAAAAAGCTATAGTCTTACTGTTAATATATATTTTAAGAATGGAGCTGTCTTACTTATCTTCCTCAGTTTTATAAAATTGATATTATGAGACAAATGTGAGATATAGAATTAGGAGGGGAGACATTTTTAAACAAATATAAAAAGAGAGAGAACAATTTAAATTTCAAATCAAAATTAAAATATTTGTAACTTTAACAAATTTTCTGATTTTAACAAATTTATTCGAAAAAACAGATGTCAAGTACTTTCGTTAAAGAAAGGAAGTTGATTTTCTTTCCTTCGGCCGACTCATGAGATGAGTAAAAAATGCGGCTTTTGCACACGTTACCTGGTTGTTTGAGGAGGCAGATATAAAAAGATTTTTCCCGCCATTCGAGGAGTCTGCCATTCAGGGAGTCCATCATACGAAGAGTCCGCCATTTGAATGGTTCTCCATACAATGTAATGAGTCTACCATTCGAAGAGTTCTCCATACGATATAGAGCAGTTCGCCATACCATAGAACACAGTTATCCATACAAGAAATTGCCACAGAAAATAAGATGAATGTCCAAAGTTAAGAAGATCCTCCTCTCATACATGAAAATATTTGAAAGAACTGAGAAGGTAGTATATTAATATTTAGATTGGTGTAAACTCTCTTTCACATGCTAGATTTAAGATAGAAGATTGAATTTTCTTACTCTCAAGATAGGCCTAGATATATATTATTTTGTAATCCATTTCTATTGTATATTCTTTGATATTTTGTTTTATTAAATATTTTTGTTTTGTTATTTTAAATATGGCTCTTTTAATAATTGATATTCACACCTCTGCCTACTCAAAATACTAGCATTCCTCATACTCACAATTCCATGGTTACGCGTGTTAATCCGCGTTAAAATAAGATTAACTGGTGTCGGGAATCCTGACGAGGAGAAGAGTGATCACGCGATTATCTCTCTCCGTCTTATTTTACTTTGTAACTGTAAGTCCCTCCACACTCGATATCATTAATGGAAAAACCATTCTTTTAGACAACCGAGGGCTACTCTCACGATTAGTTGCCGAGTAAGCAGTACACGAGTTTTACGAACTCCATATCCCCAGCCAGCCCCTCACACAATATTTTCAATTATAATACGAAATAATTACAAATTTATTTATATTGATCCAAATTAATCTACTACCCAATTCACCTTGGTTTATTTTATATTAATTTACACAATTATATAATTAAACATATCAAATTAATTACTTTTAAATTATTCAAACTTTTGAATCAAAAAGTTATTCATATTTCTACAGATAAACTATGAATTATATTTATTCAGATGTAGAATAGAATTATATAAAAATCATTTTTTGATGCATTTGATGTTTTTAATAATTAGATATAGGATAAGAATTAGATATATTTTTAATAATAAGTATATAGGTTACTGTTTAGAAAACAATTCTTATAAATGTAAAAGTGTATAAATTTTACTTATTTATTTTTTATATTCCTTAATAAAATGCATTAAAATTTATTTCAGTATTAACCTTAAAGAGCAAATAATAAAATAAATTGTTGTGAAAAAACAAAATTAATAAATAATGTACACACACACACTACATAAATGTTAATTTTTTAGACATAACTTTTAAATTTAATGTAGACTTATAAAATATTTTTAACATTAGATAAAGTCATATAGAGTCAACAGATTATAAAAATTATGTAAAAAAATAGCAATGTGAATAAAATCATAATATTGTATAAAAACAGAAGAATTGCTAATCATTTTTACAGAAAGATTATTTCTTTTATATGATAAAATCTATTATGTAATTATATAATAAATGCAATACAAAACAATGTTGAAAAAAAAATCAATTTGAAAAATCTTCACTAGCAAATTAATAATATATCAGTAATGTCAATTAATAATAAACTAATATTGATTATTGATATTAAAAAGCTAACAAACTTATCTGTAAGATATGTTGTTGTTATTTGTTTTAATCCAAAAGTTATTATAATTTAAAATTAAAATTTTGTTAATCTGTTTTAAATTCTTAGTTTTCTTTAAGAATGTAATTTAATAATAAACACAGAAAATTTTTCATAAAATTTCCATTATAAATTTGAATAAAATCTGATGATAATTGTATGAAAACAAAATGTTCATGTTTTAATTTATACTGTAAGAAAATTTGTTATATAAAGTGTTATAACAGGGGTGGCAAACCTATGGCACATGTGCCCAAAGTGGGACGTAAGGAGAAATCATCTGGCACGTAACGTATCATACGATTTCTGTCTTTTTCAATCATCTTTTCCATTTATCACCTGATTATTCTTTTTTCAATCAGCTTTTTTACATTTATTCTAATTAAAGCATATTCGTTTAATTTCTTTAAATATTGTTATTCAAAGTCTGAAACTTTGGCAAGCATAAACATCTTTAAAGCTAAGTATGCTTACAATATGGCATGCAAACACAAAAAGGTTTGCCATCCCTGCATTATAATAATTTTTTAATAGTAATCTAATTTATATAATATAAAACTATACTACCTGAAGCACAGATATTTCATTAATTATTTCATATATAACTTTCAACACTTCCGCATCAGGTAAATATCTAAAATATAATTGTATAATAATAGATATATATAATGGTATTTAAATTACATAACTATACAAATTGAATCCTAAAATAATTACCCAGCAGGATTTGCAGTAACAATATCAAATGCGCATTCATATAGTTCTCGTGGATGGTATCCAAACACTTTACGTTCACGAAATACCTTACCTATTGTATATCGTTTGAGATTTATAATTTCTCTTCTTGCAACATAACGAGCAAATGGTACCTTTAAAAATTAATTTTGTGTGTGTCAAAAGATGATGATAATTATTAATAAGTCTTTTTTAATAATAAGAATGAAATTTACCCTGAGATCATGAGGGAGTGTAACTATTCCGCCTCCATGATTCATGACATGTACACACGATTCATTATTTTTATACACAGTTGACTTTGGCATCAATGTAGGAACTGGCCAATTTATTGCACCTATAAAACCATCAAATGAGTTTTAAAATTTAAAAATCTTGTTTCTTTAAAGACTTAATTATCTTACCATGTCTTTTCATGATATTTTCAAGAATAGATATAACTTTTCTCATGGCTATAGATGACTGGCTCAAAGGTAACATTTTTTGTAAATCCATATCATATGTTACATCTGAAGCAATACTTGTTTCTTGTTTAAAAAGTGTACTAATCATACGTTTATATGCTTTACTTTGAGGATTATGTACTATATGCCTTAACATTTCATTTATTCGAGTTTCTTCCATTTGTGGAGGTGGCATATAGTCAGATGCTAATAACTGATATGATGTTGGTCTTCTGGTAACATCATGTTCAAGAAGCCATTTGATTAAATAAATCTTAATGGCATAAAGTGAAAAAATATTATCATAAGAGCTAATTCAAATAATAAAAAAAAATTGTTAAATTTTAAATACCTGTTGTCCAGAAAGATATTCTTCAATGTCGTTTGGAAAAACGACACCAGGAAGACGCAAATTGGCAAGTATTTTTACCCGTTCCATTCCAGTGGACAGTTTTGGATAACACATTTCAAAAAATATTATTCCCAGACTATAGATGTCAACTTTCTATAAATATATTTCAATTCAAAAATTAAAAACTTAAAGGTATTTTTCCTCTTAAATATTAATTAATATTTTATTAAATAGAAAGTAACCTGATTATAACTTATTTTTGATGAAGCAACATTAATTAATTCAGGTGCCACATATAAAGCTGTCCCTACACGACCTGTTTTTGTATAATCTTCAAGTTCTAAATGAGAATACTCATTAACATCTGATGCATGATTATCATTGATTGAACTGCATTCCAGAGTAGGAAGTGGCTAATATTAAAAACAATATATTAATCTACTTTTTGAATTTATGAGGAAAAATATTCTTTAATTATTAAAATAAATTTACCTTTAATAAAATATCAGTTGTAGCTAGACNATATATAAAAAAAAATTTATTACATACAAATAAAAACCCAGCGAAGCGGGACCTTGCAGCTAGTTTATTAATAAAATACAGGTAAGTTAAACTTTAAAGGATCTAAGAAAGATATTGAGCTATTATGACCTTTTCCTTCTAAGATGAATGTTATAAAGATATAAATGGATGATAATAGTTGAATAAAGACTCAAATCTTTGTATCTCAATTAAGGTGTCATCTACATTTCAGATGTAGTAGCAGATTATAGCCCCTCTTACTGTCCATTAAGATCTTAAATTCCAAATTACACATGATTAATTATGCCAGTACAGCTGATAATCCATAAGGATGTCCTGTTTATACAGGTAAATGTGTTTCTTGAAATAAAGTAATTTCTGTTGATTATTAAGGAAAGGAATTAATCATGTATAATTTGGAATTTAAGATTTTTACAGCCTCTCTTACTCTCCATTATCTGCTACTATATTTGCAGTATGTAAATAATATCTTAATTGGATGGAATGGCTCATATAAGGATTTATTAATCTTTGAATATTATCATCCATTTATCCCTCTAACATTCATCTAAAAAGGCCATAGTAACTCAATATCCTTAGATCTGTGTATACATACAACACCCAGAGATTGTCTTTTCAGGTTTACCATATGTTTAATTTGGTACCTCTATTTTTAAAATCTTATTGTTTTTGTATTTGTCTTTAAATTTTATATTAAAAAGTTTATAAATTGATTTTATTAATTCAGTTACTCTTTATCAAATGTTTTAGTCTTGAATAAAACTGTTAAAGTAATCCTTAGAAAGAACTTTACTCAAGCTTGGCTGTTTTTAATGATTAGAAATTCTCAAAATGTTTTAAAGTTCATTCTCATTCCTACTGATTTTCTGTATTATAAAAAAAAATTATTAAAAATAAGTCACATTCTTCAATAAAATGGTCAAATTTCCAATTGTTCAATGCTAAAATATGTACAACTGTGTTTCTCCAATTAGAAGTTGTAGCACTGAATGTTAATAGCTGATGATTGCAATTTCTAAGGAAGTTTAATGACACATTTTTTGATTGAATCTATCCTTTTGCTTGTGTTCATATTAATTAATAGGATTCCAATCATGATGATAAGATAATTGTAAACAATATATCCTTGAGATTTTGCTAATTTTTTTATCTCAAACTTTTTCTTTTTATGTCATTTAATTATGTTATGTGAATTGAGCATGTTTTAGAAGAATGAGTGATTGCTTTTCTATTTAATCATGCTATCATTTCACTTCAAGAAGTTGATCGTTTTCTAATTGTTTTGAATAATAAGGAGCATTATAACTATTACATTTTTCTGGAATATCTGGTAATAAATGTTCTTCAAACTGTATACAAAAACAATTATTATTCATTTCATTGTACTAATTAGTAAAGTTTATTTTATACACATACTAAAACTAAATGACAAACTTTAATGTTAGGAATTTGAAACTACAAATAAAATTATTATTCTTTTACTGAAGTTTTGTCAATATCAGAATTTTTTTGGCAATAATCCTTTTGATTCCATGCAGATATATGAGCAGATTTTGTTGTTTCATCAATAACATTTCTATAAAGTAAATTTTGGTGATTATATACATTTAAAATGATAGCCTTAGCTAGACTGTGCAATGCTTTGCCTTATTTACACATAATAGCATTTCTTTCCACTACTTCACTAATGATTTTGATTTATTAATGAAGTATGAATTTAATGAAGTAAATAAATCAAATTGGAAACTCTATAGTGTAGGATTCTGTTTTATATTAATTAAAGTAACATTAACAAAAAATTTAAATGATGAAATAACTTTAAAGTTAGAAGACAGTGAATACTATATTTTCATGCAATGTTTTATGAACAGATGAATAAAGTTGTATGAACAAAAAATTGTAATTCAATTAGATGGGCCAACTGTTATAATCCATCAGGTCTTTACCATATAAAGTAGCTCATCTTTTGTCAAGCAATAGATACAGTAGTGCCTCATACTTCAAATTAAATACATTCCAGGAGGCTGTTTGAACTATGAATTGTTTGAAGTCTAAAGCAATTTTTCCCTTTAGAAATAACAAAGTGAATTAATCCATTCCAAGACCTTAAATGATTCCCATTTCAAAAAAAACTTCACTCACATAATTTAAGGTAAAAACAGTATAATAATTAAATGCCATAATAGTAGACCAAACACAAAACAATAAATACATAAATAATGTATAATGAAATGAAAAATGCATTTACTTGTTCCACAGAGTTGACTTTTGCATTCTAAACATGGCTGTTAGATTTGCCACATTTGTACTGCTTTCATACTTTCCGATAACTTGTTTTTTTTAACCCAAATCATCAATACTACAACCTTCCCTTAAACTTCGTGTATGTCACGGTTATTAAGTAAAGGTCATATTAGTGGAACAGATTGTTGTTACTTAATATAGATGCATGATTTAATTATATGCTGTGAAATTTAGCACATTATTGCTAAAGTAAAATTGTATTCTTTGTTTAAAAGCTTATTTTAAACTTTTTACTTCATATTTGATTTGAATAAAATTAAGTTAAAATGTCTTCAGATAAAAAGCATATCAGGAATTTTATGCTTGAGTTTTTGAAAAGATATAATTCTCCTATATTTCAGACATGTCAAATGTGGTTTAAAAAGTTCCATTCGGGAAATTTTGTACTGAAGGATAGATAATGTACAGCACCCAAAAACTGTCAACAAAGAAAAATTGAAGGAAGGAAGTATTAAAAATTGAATAGTAAACAATATATATAAGGAAAGACAAAAAATAAAGTGACAAAAACACATAAGAGTGGGAGCCAGAGATGACTCGGGAATATAACAGCTTGTATTTATGCTTCAAGCACATTTTTTCCCTATGCACACTGTTCAAACTTCAAAGCACTGTTTGAATTCTGAAGCATGAAAGTATGAAATACCATTGTATAACAATAGTTTTTAATAGTAGTGCCCAAACTACAGCTCAAATCCAGCCTGCAAACATATTTGACACACCATTTATAAACAATAGAAATAGGCCTACTTGTGTATTTATGGAATATACAAACTTTGTGGCTTTCCTATTTATAACTTATACACAATTCAACTTGCCAATCAAAAAGTTTAGACACTATGTTTTAGTCTCAAGAATACATAAAAAATAGGCTTAATTCTTTAGTCTGTTCAAGTTAGTATTATAGTAACAGTATATTTAAAAACTATTGCAATAGCAATTATTGTATATTTCAATATTAACATTAGCAACTCCATGATCTTCAGATCAAGCATCTTTAGATTAAGTCTTAAAATAATTTAATCACAATTAATCTGCAAATAAAATCCTATATTAAACCAAATTAAAAAAATTAAACTTTAAAATAAAATGCAATAAATAAAATAGTAAATTTGCCTAATCATCAAGAAAACTGATTCCAATAGCTCAATTTTAATAGATTTTTAAAATACAGTCGACCCCCCTATAATTACGATTCCTATAAAACTATGAAAAAATATATGTATTTTGGAAATGTTGAGTCGGATTAGTGTAGAATCGATTAATTTTATGGAAGAAAACCTTTCAATCAGCCGTAGTCCGTAAACTTGACACGTGTCGGGCTGTGATTGGAACGACTTGTAAGAAATCGGATTCCTAATAAATTGGAACGTATCTATATCTTATAGGGAGGTCGACTGTACTATCTGATCCAAAGATATGAAAATGCACTACGTACTGAAGGTTCTGTTTAAGTATTTAATATTATCATAAATATGTTTAATTATCTAAGAAATATTATTTAACATTTATTATTTAAAAATATGATATTTATATTTCAAATATTTAATATTAAAAAAAGCTATAGTCTTACTGTTAATATATATTTTAAGAATGGAGCTGTCTTACTTATCTTCCTCAGTTTTATAAAATTGATATTATGAGACAAATGTGAGATATAGAATTAGGAGGGGAGACATTTTTAAACAAATATAAAAAGAGAGAGAACAATTTAAATTTCAAATCAAAATTAAAATATTTGTAACTTTAACAAATTTTCTGATTTTAACAAATTTATTCGAAAAAACAGATGTCAAGTACTTTCGTTAAAGAAAGGAAGTTGATTTTCTTTCCTTCGGCCGACTCATGAGATGAGTAAAAAATGCGGCTTTTGCACACGTTACCTGGTTGTTTGAGGAGGCAGATATAAAAAGATTTTTCCCGCCATTCGAGGAGTCTGCCATTCAGGGAGTCCATCATACGAAGAGTCCGCCATTTGAATGGTTCTCCATACAATGTAATGAGTCTACCATTCGAAGAGTTCTCCATACGATATAGAGCAGTTCGCCATACCATAGAACACAGTTATCCATACAAGAAATTGCCACAGAAAATAAGATGAATGTCCAAAGTTAAGAAGATCCTCCTCTCATACATGAAAATATTTGAAAGAACTGAGAAGGTAGTATATTAATATTTAGATTGGTGTAAACTCTCTTTCACATGCTAGATTTAAGATAGAAGATTGAATTTTCTTACTCTCAAGATAGGCCTAGATATATATTATTTTGTAATCCATTTCTATTGTATATTCTTTGATATTTTGTTTTATTAAATATTTTTGTTTTGTTATTTTAAATATGGCTCTTTTAATAATTGATATTCACACCTCTGCCTACTCAAAATACTAGCATTCCTCATACTCACAATTCCATGGTTACGCGTGTTAATCCGCGTTAAAATAAGATTAACTGGTGTCGGGAATCCTGACGAGGAGAAGAGTGATCACGCGATTATCTCTCTCCGTCTTATTTTACTTTGTAACTGTAAGTCCCTCCACACTCGATATCATTAATGGAAAAACCATTCTTTTAGACAACCGAGGGCTACTCTCACGATTAGTTGCCGAGTAAGCAGTACACGAGTTTTACGAACTCCATATCCCCAGCCAGCCCCTCACACAATATTTTCAATTATAATACGAAATAATTACAAATTTATTTATATTGATCCAAATTAATCTACTACCCAATTCACCTTGGTTTATTTTATATTAATTTACACAATTATATAATTAAACATATCAAATTAATTACTTTTAAATTATTCAAACTTTTGAATCAAAAAGTTATTCATATTTCTACAGATAAACTATGAATTATATTTATTCAGATGTAGAATAGAATTATATAAAAATCATTTTTTGATGCATTTGATGTTTTTAATAATTAGATATAGGATAAGAATTAGATATATTTTTAATAATAAGTATATAGGTTACTGTTTAGAAAACAATTCTTATAAATGTAAAAGTGTATAAATTTTACTTATTTATTTTTTATATTCCTTAATAAAATGCATTAAAATTTATTTCAGTATTAACCTTAAAGAGCAAATAATAAAATAAATTGTTGTGAAAAAACAAAATTAATAAATAATGTACACACACACACTACATAAATGTTAATTTTTTAGACATAACTTTTAAATTTAATGTAGACTTATAAAATATTTTTAACATTAGATAAAGTCATATAGAGTCAACAGATTATAAAAATTATGTAAAAAAATAGCAATGTGAATAAAATCATAATATTGTATAAAAACAGAAGAATTGCTAATCATTTTTACAGAAAGATTATTTCTTTTATATGATAAAATCTATTATGTAATTATATAATAAATGCAATACAAAACAATGTTGAAAAAAAAATCAATTTGAAAAATCTTCACTAGCAAATTAATAATATATCAGTAATGTCAATTAATAATAAACTAATATTGATTATTGATATTAAAAAGCTAACAAACTTATCTGTAAGATATGTTGTTGTTATTTGTTTTAATCCAAAAGTTATTATAATTTAAAATTAAAATTTTGTTAATCTGTTTTAAATTCTTAGTTTTCTTTAAGAATGTAATTTAATAATAAACACAGAAAATTTTTCATAAAATTTCCATTATAAATTTGAATAAAATCTGATGATAATTGTATGAAAACAAAATGTTCATGTTTTAATTTATACTGTAAGAAAATTTGTTATATAAAGTGTTATAACAGGGGTGGCAAACCTATGGCACATGTGCCCAAAGTGGGACGTAAGGAGAAATCATCTGGCACGTAACGTATCATACGATTTCTGTCTTTTTCAATCATCTTTTCCATTTATCACCTGATTATTCTTTTTTCAATCAGCTTTTTTACATTTATTCTAATTAAAGCATATTCGTTTAATTTCTTTAAATATTGTTATTCAAAGTCTGAAACTTTGGCAAGCATAAACATCTTTAAAGCTAAGTATGCTTACAATATGGCATGCAAACACAAAAAGGTTTGCCATCCCTGCATTATAATAATTTTTTAATAGTAATCTAATTTATATAATATAAAACTATACTACCTGAAGCACAGATATTTCATTAATTATTTCATATATAACTTTCAACACTTCCGCATCAGGTAAATATCTAAAATATAATTGTATAATAATAGATATATATAATGGTATTTAAATTACATAACTATACAAATTGAATCCTAAAATAATTACCCAGCAGGATTTGCAGTAACAATATCAAATGCGCATTCATATAGTTCTCGTGGATGGTATCCAAACACTTTACGTTCACGAAATACCTTACCTATTGTATATCGTTTGAGATTTATAATTTCTCTTCTTGCAACATAACGAGCAAATGGTACCTTTAAAAATTAATTTTGTGTGTGTCAAAAGATGATGATAATTATTAATAAGTCTTTTTTAATAATAAGAATGAAATTTACCCTGAGATCATGAGGGAGTGTAACTATTCCGCCTCCATGATTCATGACATGTACACACGATTCATTATTTTTATACACAGTTGACTTTGGCATCAATGTAGGAACTGGCCAATTTATTGCACCTATAAAACCATCAAATGAGTTTTAAAATTTAAAAATCTTGTTTCTTTAAAGACTTAATTATCTTACCATGTCTTTTCATGATATTTTCAAGAATAGATATAACTTTTCTCATGGCTATAGATGACTGGCTCAAAGGTAACATTTTTTGTAAATCCATATCATATGTTACATCTGAAGCAATACTTGTTTCTTGTTTAAAAAGTGTACTAATCATACGTTTATATGCTTTACTTTGAGGATTATGTACTATATGCCTTAACATTTCATTTATTCGAGTTTCTTCCATTTGTGGAGGTGGCATATAGTCAGATGCTAATAACTGATATGATGTTGGTCTTCTGGTAACATCATGTTCAAGAAGCCATTTGATTAAATAAATCTTAATGGCATAAAGTGAAAAAATATTATCATAAGAGCTAATTCAAATAATAAAAAAAAATTGTTAAATTTTAAATACCTGTTGTCCAGAAAGATATTCTTCAATGTCGTTTGGAAAAACGACACCAGGAAGACGCAAATTGGCAAGTATTTTTACCCGTTCCATTCCAGTGGACAGTTTTGGATAACACATTTCAAAAAATATTATTCCCAGACTATAGATGTCAACTTTCTATAAATATATTTCAATTCAAAAATTAAAAACTTAAAGGTATTTTTCCTCTTAAATATTAATTAATATTTTATTAAATAGAAAGTAACCTGATTATAACTTATTTTTGATGAAGCAACATTAATTAATTCAGGTGCCACATATAAAGCTGTCCCTACACGACCTGTTTTTGTATAATCTTCAAGTTCTAAATGAGAATACTCATTAACATCTGATGCATGATTATCATTGATTGAACTGCATTCCAGAGTAGGAAGTGGCTAATATTAAAAACAATATATTAATCTACTTTTTGAATTTATGAGGAAAAATATTCTTTAATTATTAAAATAAATTTACCTTTAATAAAATATCAGTTGTAGCTAGACCAAAATCTCCAATCTTAACTTGGTCATTGCAGTCTAAAAAAATATTTACAGGCTTTAAATCTCTATGTATCATTCCCTGTAAAAATAAACATTGAATAATAATCATCACAGAACTTAGAACTTTTTAAAAAATTATAAATAATGCTTTAACTAAAAGTAAAATTATACTGAAAAATATTTTGATTTACTAGATTTAGATATAAGATACATTTTAATTTTGAGTATATTCTATTAATATTTTCTGATTAAAATGCTAAAGTAAAAATCTATATATCCTCAATTTAAAAATATGAAAATATATTACATAATTGTGGCAGTAAAATGGATACAAAATAACTTCAAAAAGAAGTTATTTTGTATCCATTTTACTGCCACAATTATGCATAATGTATGATAAAAACATTCAGTCATGTATGATGAGTAAAACAATCTACCAAATTTGTCAAGTGCTAATTAATTTAGAGAAAGTAATAAACTTAATATTAATTGAAAATATTTATCACCAATTATTTTTGACTTTAACAATTAATTAATCATTTTAAAAGTCATTAGATATTGTTATATTACTCATTAATTTTTATTTTAAAAATACAGTGGAATCTCAGTATACGTCTGCTTTAGAATACGTCCTGTTTGAACGAAACAAATTTTGCTCGGTATACGACTTTTGTTCGGTATACGACTTAATTCAATTATACGCGCCATCTATGAACAAGTAGCACTACCGGTGTACTACACTAGACTAGACGTTAGCGGTGCTACGGTTTATAACTTTCTTAAATATCTTCTGATTTTAATTTGTAAGTAACATTTTATTATTTTTATTAATCATGAATTGCAAAAGGGCAACAGAAAAATAAAACAAATGACTAGAATCACAACGGAACTGAAAAAAGAGATTGTTGAGAAATATAAAGGTGGCACACGTGTTCGAGATTTAACTGTTGCATTCCGTATTCCGAGAACGACGATATCGATAATTGTGAAAAATAAAGACATTATTAAATTTGCTAACGTTGCGAAAGGGGTTAAATCAATTTCTAAACGGAGATCGAAGACATTAGATCATGTCGAGAAATTGCTTTTGCTTTGGATAACTGAAAAACAGTGTGCCTGCGACAACGTATCGGAAGAAATTATTTGCGAGAAAGTTAAAAGGATACATGCTGATCTCATGTAAAACCAAGCAGAAACTAGTGAGGAAAGCGAGGTGTTTAAAGCCAGCCATTTTTTTACATGAGAACGGATTAATGATTTTTACATTACTTCTTATGGAAAAGGTTGGTTTGGTATACGTCCTATTCGGTATAAGTCCAAACACCAGGAACAGATTAAGGTCGTATACCGAGGTTCCACTGTATTTGTGTAAAGAGTTTAAAAGAATCATAATCAGAAAAACAAGTCACAAAAAAGTGCAGTTAGTTCTAGATTATTTTGAATTTTTCTGGAACTAAAGTAAAATTTCAGGACCAGTTAAGTTGCATCAACAATTGCTAACTAAGGAAACTCAAAGTCATAATGATGATACTCTTATGAAGACAATCACATATTTTTCCATAATTTCTAATGTGAGAATCAAACAAATAAAAGGAAAACAACAAAAGGATGACCTCATCAGAAGCTAGTATATGTCAACCTTCTGACCTGAGTGTGTGTCAACTTATGCTTTCTCAGAATCAGTAGTGACACCTTTCCAGGACTTTTAGTCTAAGGTATTTGCTGCTTTGAATATGATGAGGAATGGCCAATTCCAGTCAGTCATCATCCGTTCTTTCAACTGTTCAGTTTAGTGGGTGCTTGTGTGCCTCTTTTGGATTAGTGCTCTTCTGTATCTTCAGATTCCTCATCATCCCTCTACTTGCTGCTTTTTCTCCCAAACTGCTAATGAATGTGAAGGACTAAATTCCAACGATCCTCAACAGGAATTCTAGTTCCAACATGTAAGGTACTAAATATTTGTAATCTTTCTCTTCGCAAAATGCAAATACTCTGTGTAATGTGTTGTACTAACTTTCGTGTTGTCTAATAAATGTGTTGAGTGAAACACTTTCAACTGAATCTTGTTCTTTCCTATTCCATCATCTTATCCCTAGTCTCACATATGAGATCACATTATTGCCATCCAAAAAAATGCTCAAACCTCATGTAATAGGCATAACCTACTGGTGTCAGAAGGAAAGACAAAAGTAGAATCACACAGTGGTTCTACTTTTGTCTTTCCAAAATTACAATTTACAATTCAGAATCAACACACTAATTAAATTCAACTTTTTTATTCAACAATTTTCCTTAAAATATAATCATTAAGAGCAAGAATTTATTAGACTTATTTTGAATAATTTTAATAATTTTCTTTAACTATTCACAATTCATTTTGTATTTAGTATTATTCATATTTTATTTTCATTTTTTTTAAGATAGCAAACACTGAAGAACATTTATCTTAAAGTTATTAAATTATTCATTGGCAGAATAAAAGTCTAATCAAATAAATATTTATATTAAATGAACTAAAATACATTGATTTTCCAATTAAATTTTTCAAAATTAATTGTTTATAATCTAGCTAGCAAATTAATATCTTTAGAATACATATATTTTCTAAAATGCAAGTTTTTATATTTTATAACAAACCTGTTGATGAATATGACAAAGCCCTTCAATTATTTCTCTAAAAAGTCTCCAGATTCTTGATATATCTTTATGAAGATCTTCATCAATAGCAGTTCTTAAAGTACTCTTCTCACAAAATTCCATCTATTAAAAATAAAAATTTCCTGTATATGTTGCGTTCTCATTATAAATAACAATGTAATAATTTTAAAAAGCCAATATTACTCAATTTCTAATTATTATTTATCATTATTATATAGTGGACTCCTGTTTCATGATATTAATTTATTCTAGAGACCTCATTATATTGTGAAAATATTTTAATTCAAACCCAATAATATGATATACAGTGGGTGATCGGTTAATGAACATAATCCATTCCGAGACTTTGTTTGCTATCCGAATTGTTCGTTAACTGATTATCGATTTACCATACGTTTTTATAGAAATTTAATTAAATCATTCCGGTGATCCCAAAAAATAAAAAAATATATACTTTTTACTATGTTTATTTATATCTATATCTATATCTATATCTATATATNTAATATTAAAAAAAGCTATAGTCTTACTGTTAATATATATTTTAAGAATGGAGCTGTCTTACTTATCTTCCTCAGTTTTATAAAATTGATATTATGAGACAAATGTGAGATATAGAATTAGGAGGGGAGACATTTTTAAACAAATATAAAAAGAGAGAGAACAATTTAAATTTCAAATCAAAATTAAAATATTTGTAACTTTAACAAATTTTCTGATTTTAACAAATTTATTCGAAAAAACAGATGTCAAGTACTTTCGTTAAAGAAAGGAAGTTGATTTTCTTTCCTTCGGCCGACTCATGAGATGAGTAAAAAATGCGGTTTTTGCACACGTTACCTGGTTGTTTGAGGAGGCAGATATAAAAAGATTTTTCCCGCCATTCGAGGAGTCTGCCATTCAGGGAGTCCATCATACGAAGAGTCCGCCATTTGAATGGTTCTCCATACAATGTAATGAGTCTACCATTCGAAGAGTTCTCCATACGATATAGAGCAGTTCGCCATACCATAGAACACAGTTATCCATACAAGAAATTGCCACAGAAAATAAGATGAATGTCCAAAGTTAAGAAGATCCTCCTCTCATACATGAAAATATTTGAAAGAACTGAGAAGGTAGTATATTACTATAGTGTAGGATTCTGTTTTATATTAATTAAAGTAACATTAACAAAAAATTTAAATGATGAAATAACTTTAAAGTTAGAAGACAGTGAATACTATATTTTCATGCAATGTTTTATGAACAGATGAATAAAGTTGTATGAACAAAAAATTGTAATTCAATTAGATGGGCCAACTGTTATAATCCATCAGGTCTTTACCATATAAAGTAGCTCATCTTTTGTCAAGCAATAGATACAGTAGTGCCTCATACTTCAAATTAAATACATTCCAGGAGGCTGTTTGAACTATGAATTGTTTGAAGTCTAAAGCAATTTTTCCCTTTAGAAATAACAAAGTGAATTAATCCATTCCAAGACCTTAAATGATTCCCATTTAAAAAAAAACTTCACTCACATAATTTAAGGTAAAAACAGTATAATAATTAAATGCCATAATAGTAGACCAAACACAAAACAATAAATACATAAATAATGTATAATGAAATGAAAAATGCATTTACTTGTTCCACAGAGTTGACTTTTGCATTCTAAACATGGCTGTTAGATTTGCCACATTTGTACTGCTTTCATACTTTCCGATAACTTGTTTTTTTTAACCCAAATCATCAATACTACAACCTTCCCTTAAACTTCGTGTATGTCACGGTTATTAAGTAAAGGTCATATTAGTGGAACAGATTGTTGTTACTTAATATAGATGCATGATTTAATTATATGCTGTGAAATTTAGCACATTATTGCTAAAGTAAAATTGTATTCTTTGTTTAAAAGCTTATTTTAAACTTTTTACTTCATATTTGATTTGAATAAAATTAAGTTAAAATGTCTTCAGATAAAAAGCATATCAGGAATTTTATGCTTGAGTTTTTGAAAAGATATAATTCTCCTATATTTCAGACATGTCAAATGTGGTTTAAAAAGTTCCATTCGGGAAATTTTGTACTGAAGGATAGATAATGTACAGCACCCAAAAACTGTCAACAAAGAAAAATTGAAGGAAGGAAGTATTAAAAATTGAATAGTAAACAATATATATAAGGAAAGACAAAAAATAAAGTGACAAAAACACATAAGAGTGGGAGCCAGAGATGACTCGGGAATATAACAGCTTGTATTTATGCTTCAAGCACATTTTTTCCCTATGCACACTGTTCAAACTTCAAAGCACTGTTTGAATTCTGAAGCATGAAAGTATGAAATACCATTGTATAACAATAGTTTTTAATAGTAGTGCCCAAACTACAGCTCAAATCCAGCCTGCAAACATATTTGACACACCATTTATAAACAATAGAAATAGGCCTACTTGTGTATTTATGGAATATACAAACTTTGTGGCTTTCCTATTTATAACTTATACACAATTCAACTTGCCAATCAAAAAGTTTAGACACTATGTTTTAGTCTCAAGAATACATAAAAAATAGGCTTAATTCTTTAGTCTGTTCAAGTTAGTATTATAGTAACAGTATATTTAAAAACTATTGCAATAGCAATTATTGTATATTTCAATATTAACATTAGCAACTCCATGATCTTCAGATCAAGCATCTTTAGATTAAGTCTTAAAATAATTTAATCACAATTAATCTGCAAATAAAATCCTATATTAAACCAAATTAAAAAAATTAAACTTTAAAATAAAATGCAATAAATAAAATAGTAAATTTGCCTAATCATCAAGAAAACTGATTCCAATAGCTCAATTTTAATAGATTTTTAAAATACAGTCGACCCCCCTATAATTACGATTCCTATAAAACTATGAAAAAATATATGTATTTTGGAAATGTTGAGTCGGATTAGTGTAGAATCGATTAATTTTATGGAAGAAAACCTTTCAATCAGCCGTAGTCCGTAAACTTGACACGTGTCGGGCTGTGATTGGAACGACTTGTAAGAAATCGGATTCCTAATAAATTGGAACGTATCTATATCTTATAGGGGGGTCGACTGTATA